TAGTACACCAAGAAAGAATTGTCGTATTGCTGCAAAAGTTGCTACACTGATACTTATCAAGCAGATATTGTTATGATTAGAATTGTAGCGTAATGGCACATTGAGTAATTCCAGCAGTGGGAGATAAATTGCATCTCTCTTGGCCTATAAAAAGCGCTTAAAGGCATCTCGTCCGTAGAGATCTCGTACTACTACTTACAGATGAACGCTGTATCACTAGAGAGGCATTTACGTCGGAATGGAACAACATACGAACAATCAATTCAGTTTAAAACGGGAAAGATCATCGTGTTGAGAGAAGCCAAATGGTCATCTCGCCGAATCACCCGCCATCTAGGCCATCTGATAATACTGTGAAAGGGCGTTGAAACCGTGGACAAGAGAGAAATTGCACACACGGCGCCAGGGTCGGGACGCCTTCGGCAGACCACTAGCCGAGAGAACCGCCCAGTCTGACGACAAGCACACACACGATCAAACACATTGTTGTCCTCCATCCGGAAACAGGTAGCGCCATCATTACGGGCCTCTATGACGAGGCGCCCGGGCAAGGAACATGTGGTATCGCGGCGGCCATTACGTGTACTGCCATTGATATCCGCACACAGCCGCCTATTTTTAGAGTGATGTTGCTTGTGACAGGAGTGGCCGCAACAGAATTTACATTACATTACATTTATTTTATTTACAACTTGTTGGAGTACAACAAATCCTGGCGCCATATACGTATAGCCAGGTGAAAAGCGGAGTTGATGGTTACATAATAACGATACATTTAGTAGGATAAAATACATAATAAAGAAATAGGGAAAAATGGGAAAATATAAAAGTATAAAGATATAAAAATATAAAGGTATGAAATATGAGACAATAAAATTAATGGGTACATAGCAGTAAGAAGAATTATACATACATATAATTTGTACAAAATATACATATAGATAATTACATATCATTACAGTGATGCGAAAATAAGTGATATGAGATGCTGAGGTTAGTGATACAGTTATAAAAATACATAATATCAGGATGATGTGCAATAAAGGCACAGAACACAGTAAGTGAGGTTTCAGTTGAAAGCAGCAACAGTAGTCCTTTTAAAGTACATGTCAATGAGGTGAAGTAGTGCAGCATAGGTGTCACTATTGTTCATAATTCCGTGGAGGTTTTCAGGCCAGTGATAACCATGTGTCTCCATGGAGGTGCGAAGAAGGTGTCTCTCAAGCTCAAGCATTGGGCAGGTGAGTAGATAGTGAAGGCAGCCGTCTTCGACATCGCAAAGGGAACAGCTGAAGGTTGGAGAGTTAACAAATCTAGCCAGGTAGGAATAGAAGCGTCCGTGATTGGTAAGAAATTGGCTGGTACGTTGGGTCGGTCTATACCAGGGGATAGCAAGGAAGGTCTTGATGTTAGGAATGAGTTGATGGGTGATGGGATGATTTTGTCTGTCCCAGTCCTCCTGCCAAAGATCGAGGAGGTCGTTGCGAATGATGTTTTTTATAGTTTTAATATTGATCTTGCTGTAGACAATTGGAAGGTTGTTGTCTTCACAGGCGCTCTTTGCGAGTTCATCGGCCCTCTCGTTACCGAGAGTGCCCTGGTGGGCACGAGTCCAGTAGATGGAGTAAATGTTGCTGGATTTGTTGATGTCACTATGGATGCTGGTGGAGATGGGGTGGTCACAATGGTTTTTTAAGGCTGCAATAGAGGACTCGCTGTCGGTGATGATAGTAACAGTCTGGGAATCATAGTTCGAGGCAGTCCAAGCCACGGCCATGCTTATCGCGTACATTTCCGCCTGAAAGACGGTACAGTCTGCACCAAGTCTGTACCGCTCAGACGCAATTTCGGTGTTGTTTAGGTAGGCGACAAAACCGCTACCAACATTATTGTTACATTTAGACCCATCAGTATAGACTGTTAAATCGGTATGCTCAGGCTGGAAGAAGTTTAATTTATTAGGGATAGCAGGGTGATTGGAACGAGAGAAGTGGATGGCGCACTCGAGGTCGTGATGGTTAATTTCCTGTGTAGCTGTATGGATAGTGCTGCCCCATTTAAGATGCCAAACTTTAGTTTGTAGGGAGATATGTTTGTCAATGGGCATTTTTCTTGCCAGGACTTGAAGAGAGGAGTTGGGTGTCGTTCTATAGGCCCTCGTAATGTGCAAGAGGGCTTTGCGTTGTGCGGCGATGAGTTTTCTTTTAATGTGAACCCTGCAGGTAGACCATCCCCAGCTGCCACAGGCATAGGTAATTATGGGGACAAAGATTTGGTTGTAAATGGCATCCATGGCCTCAGAGGCCAGGCCCCAGCGTCTACGAGCAATGCCAGCAAAGGTGTTGAAGATGTGTCCTGTGCGCTCGGTGATGTATTCAACGTGAGCATTCCACAGCAGCCTGTGGTCGAGTACAATGCCCAGGTACTTGATGGTCTTTTCAACGGCAATGGTTTGTCCCCCCATTTTAATGGTGGGGACTCTAAGGTAAAGATTCTGCTGGCCAGGTCTATTAAAAACGACACATTTAGTTTTTTGTGCGTTAAAAACGAGCTTGTGGTTTCTTCCCCAGTTTAAGATCTTATCAAGTATGGCGTTGCCGTCTTTTTCAATGGCTGCACGAGAGCGGCTCCCAAGGAGCAGAAAAACATCATCGGCGTAGGCCACTATATCATGGTGCCCAAAGTCTTGCTGGAGAAAATCGTTGAAGTAAATGTTCCAGAGTGTTGGTCCACAGACCGAGCCCTGAGGGCAGCCACGGACAACAGAGCGGTGGATAGTGTGACCTCCACATTGTAGAAAGGCGGTTCTGTCCCTAAGGTAGTCCCGTATGAGATAGTAAAGGTTAGCTGGGCACTTAATCTTACGAAGTTGATGGAGAAGAAGCGGCCACCAGGCACTGTCAAACGCTTTAGCGATGTCAAGACTGATGGCCAAGACATATTTGTTATTTTGGAGGAGGTGGTCAATGTTGTCAATAACCCTATGGATGGCATCAGAAGAGGATTTCTGTGGACGGAAGCCGAATTGCGAGTTGTGCAGTATGGAGTTGTTTTCCAGATACCAAACAAGCCTATTGTTAAGAAGCCGTTCCAGGACCTTGCCAAGAACCGGCAGGAGGGAAATCGGTCTGCTTTCATTAGTGCGTCCAGGTTTGGGGACAGGGACAATTCTGGCCTTTTTCCATGTTTGGGGAAAAACACCATGGCAGAGACAAGCATTATAGAGGTTTGTCAGCTTAGTGGGGATGAGGTTCCAGAGGGTCTTAGCCATCTCTGAGGTGATGTCGTCATGGCCCGGGGATTTCTTATTGCGGAGAGTGGAGAAAGCCCTGTCGATCTCATGAGTTTGNTCGATGAAAATTCAACGCGAAGTAGGTTAATAGCGATATACTAATATACTAATTACATGGGATATAATAATATACTACACTAATAATGGATTTTTTCATACTTTTCGGTTATCCGACTTTTCAATTATCCGACCAACCCCAGTCCCCAATTGGGTCGGATAATCGAGACTCTACTGTAATGGATTTTTTCATACTTTTCGGTTATCCGACTTTTCAATTATCCGACCAACCCCAGTCCCCAATTGGGTCGGATAATCGAGGCTCTACTGTAAAGTGTTATTTTAAATTGTAATTATTGGAAACTTTAATAGGTTAAATTCGAGCGTTTTATCGAGTTACGCTAAAAGCCATAAAAATTATTTCCCACGGAGTTTGTTCCTTGTTGAGTCGGATCCAGTTAGTCAGGGATGTGTCACCAGAAACTTTCGATGGAGAGCCCATATTGGACGCCAGACCCTTAACAACAACCACCTGAATATAGATATAATAGAAAAACCCAAGAGGATTTACAAAGAAAAAACCAAAAACCCTCAAGAGGGGAGTCGTCTTCAAAAAGTCCGCCCAACAAAGTCGTCCTCCAGAATTAAAATCGTGACCCAGGATTAAAACCCGTGAGAAAACATCGTGCCTGGTTAAGCCTCTACACTCTTCCGTGCCTCCACACCAGTGAACGGACCGGATTCGTAACTAGTGGAAAGAACAGTCCATCGACAAGGTATTTATCAACACGCGATTTGTTTGTAAACTCTCTCTCTCGATGGGCCTTTCTTGAATAGGGAAACTATGACCGAAATTGACTCTCTTTGTATTTTCTTTAGTTTCATTAAAATTGTTATTTGTTAGAAAATATGGAATCCGAGTGAGTCACTTCCTCGTCTCTCTCCTCACCTCTACTCCGAATCCAATCGCTCACCCGCTACCGCTCGTGTGACGTAACGTCACGATTTCCGAGTCCTGCGAGACTCGGTGGTGTCAGATTCAGGTCTCCTGACGTTTCAGGAATCACAATTTCTTCCTGCAATTTTTCTTCTTGCAGCTTTTGGGCACCTCGTACATTTTGTATCCTTTACTTCAAAATTTCCCAAATGGATCTTTTTAAACCACATTTGATATATTCAAAGTTCGAGAGCATCTTCCCCAGACACATTACGAATTTTCTTTTTTTACTGTTTTTGTGGCATAATATGCCTGATATGCTTTTTATTCAAACAAATGTGAAGAGTTTAAAGCAAGGTTCTAAACAACAAATAAAATCTCATCTATAATGTTAAATTTCACAACTGTTATGATTAAATCACATGTCTATGTTAAGATGCCAAAGTCCACAGTGTGTACAACCAATAAATGCAATTTTCATTTTATTATATAGTATTTACATACTTAATTACGGTTTTCATGTTTTAATTTATTATTAGGGCATTTAATTGTGTTATTTTTACCTTAAATTATGCATATTTGCTGTTTTTAAGTTTATCAAAATAGATATTGTTCAGGGTCTAGAAATGGATTTATTCACTTTCCATTATTTCTAATGAGAAAAATAGACTCAGACTTCAAATGATCTCCCAGAATGAATTAAATTCGAAGTACGAGGCCACTGTATTAGTAAAGATTTTTAGTCATATTTTCTATAAAGTCAAAAATGTTTACCTGAATAAGAATTTTATTCCATTCTTTTTCTTCTTTCAAAGCAACATTTGATACTTTATCTACATCTAATTTCTGTTAAAAGAAAAAAAAAAATCATCATATACCCATATAATATCTTTAAACTTTAAAATTTAACAATTTTTTAAAAGCAAGCATCTTAGCTGTATCTTTCATATAATACATTCAATCAATAACACTAATCCTGAAGTAGGATATGAGAGAAATTTGGAGTATAGTTTTGTATTGAAAACAGATCATTTTAGTAAAAGAACTATGTATATATATATATATATATTACTTAGTTCTTATATACATTAAAGTACAAATATACACACACACACACATTTCATATATATACTGAAATGAATCAGTTGAAGATAGATCTTCTAGGCATCAGTGAAGTTCACTGAACTGGAAGTGGATTCTTTAATTCCAATGATTACATCATCTACTACTATGGAAATGATACCCATCTGGCAAAGAAGAATAGGTTTCATTCTGCACAAGATCAGTTGCACCATAGAAAGCTTTCGAACAATTGACGACAGAATCATAGCAATCCATATCAAAAGGAAACCTTGCAATTTTATGATCCTTTAAGTTTATGCACCCACTGCTGATTCAGAAGAAAAAGTAACTGAGGCCTTCTACAATGAACTCCAAGAAACACTGCATCAGACACCAAGAAAAGATGTTGTCTAAGTCATTGGAGATTTCAACGCAAAAGTAGGTGAAATGGAATAATCATGCATTGTAGGAAAATTTGGTCTTGGAGAATGAAACAAGTCAGGTGAACAACTGATTCAGTTCTGCCAAGAACAGATGACTGTGATGAATACGTGGTTTGAACAACCAAGGTAGCAATTGTATACATGACTTCTCCCAATGGAAAATATCATAACCAGATTGACTACTTCCTGTGCTAGCAAAAGTGGAAGAGTTCCTGTTTGTCTGCAAAAATGTATCCTCGTGCCGATTGCAGAAAAGATCATGAACTGCTCATTGCCAAAGTGAAACTAAGGTTTTGTAATGTCAAGCAACCATCAGCAACACCAAAATTTGATGTCGAAATGATCCCTGATGCCTATGATATAGAAATAAAAAATATATTTGACTCACTCAATTTCACAGAAACAGAACCAGAAGAACTATGGAAAGATATAAAAGTACATATCAATGATGTAGCGCATCAACTCATTTCATACAAGAAGAAGGCAAAATGGATGTCAGAAACTATGACAGTAGTAGCAGAACAACGAAGAAAGGCAAAAATCATTGGTAACCGAGAAAAAATGCAAAGATTAAATGTAAAGTTCCAAAAAGAAGCTAGGAAAGATAAAGGAAAATTCTGGGAAGAACAGTGCAAAAAAATGGAAGCAGCAACTCAGAAAGGCCTCATTAGGCAATGCTTCACTTATGTGAAGAAAGCCTGAAAACCATTTATCGAACACAAGGCAGCTGTCAATGGCCAAGATAGTCATGAATTACATGATCAACATGCAATCAAAGAAAGATGGAAGGAATACACAGAACAACTTTACACCAATGAAATGGAAGTTGATACCCAAGGTATTGAAGAGAAAGAACTAACAGAGCTGGAGCCAAACGTCTTAGAACAGGCATGGCCAACATATGGCCCACTGGCCAGATTCGGTTTGTCTGATGAATTTATAATTTATGTGGCCCGTGATCAATCTTTCAATATTAGCTACCAAGTCCGAATAGCTTGATGAAAAATTCTGATGCCTAAAAAAAAATCAACAACTCACTGTGCATTTAGAGTTAACCCTCCATTACAAATCTCGTAAGTACAGCGTAGAGTGTTGATAAAGCATGATAATGTGAAAAATGTATCTTTGTAATATCTATCTACAATTCAGTCTCTACAGAGTGACACCACATTTTTTTTTTTTCATTTTTATTTTATTTACAACTTGTTGGAGTACAACAAATCCTGGCGCCATATACATATAGCCAGGTGAAAAGCGAAGTTGATGGTTACATAATAACGATACATTTAGTAGGATAAAATACATAATAAGGGAATAGGGAAAAATAAGAAAATATGAAAGTATGATATAAAAATATAAAGG